TTAGCTCAGGATAGGAAAGAGTGGAGAGGCGTGTCCAACTAGTCTTAGATTGATGACCTTATGAAGATGATGATTCAGAAACTTTAAATAAATCGGCTATCCCTGGTCTACAATGAAAAAGGTCCTTAAATGCCAATAAACAGAAACTCAGATTCAATTTAGTCTTGGGTAATATTGGAATAATACTCACCTAATAGTTGAAAAAATACAGGAAAATCACTAAAATATCGTTTGTTACTGTTTCCAACGAGTTTGCAGTAACATAAATAAATCTACATTTTTATCAAGTCCCAACATGTTCAAGTATATGTATATAAAACTTGCTTGCATTACAATACTTACAACTACCAACTAACGTATCATCAAAATCTATTCTTAAAAACGAAAATTTGGTTAAAATCGGTCATAGTTTTCTCGCTACTTCTCGATATCAATAGATATATTGTGTTTTCATATTTTCTTTAATAAATAGATGTTTTGTAACACCTTACTTGAACGCCATCCCCCCATGTAACGAATAACAACAAAAACTAGTTATATCCGGTTCCACATCAGTCTTAAACATTGAACTTAAAACAAATTAGGTATAAATTACATGTAGAGTTCGTTCTGGGCAAAATACAGTTCATGGAGACCTTAAAATTGGTCTGAGCACATTTTGGTCGGTGCTAATACGACTAACTTCCCATTAGATAATACAGTTATTGTAAAGTACATTCGTTTCTAAAGTTTGAAAAAAACGCGGCACAATAATAAATAACAAACAATGTTTGAGAGTTCGTCATTTTATAAACCCATAAGAAACAGTATTTCGTCTGAGAAAACCGAATTGATAGAGTACTTGCATCAGTCAATTGGTAAATACTATTTTTTATTGTTTATCGATTGTTTATAACAATTCATTTTGTTATAAACAAATTTTTATTATAATATGTTATTATAATATGTTATTCCCTGTCTTGAATAATGATATTTCGTTATTATTGATTCCGTAACTTCATTGTTGTGATTAGATTAGAACGTATTTTAATTAAATTGTTTGTAATTAATTCGTTTTTTTTTTTATAAAAAAAAAACGGCTTGACCGATTTCGTTCAAATTTCTTTCAGATCTTCATTATGATAATATCTTTCGAAAAAATTTTGGTTGAGGGCGATATCTCAATCCGTTCTTGAGATATCGAAAACGAAAAAAATGCTGACATACGAACGTACGTACATACGTACGTACGTACGTACGTACGTACGTACGTACGTACAGATATCGCAAACGAAAAAAATGCTGACATACGAACGTACGTACATACGTACGTACGTACGTACGTACGTACGTACGTACGTACATACACACATCATCAAAAAAATTGGCTAGCATGCTACTAATATGTTAAAACGTGGAAATATAATGAAAATTCCGATTTCACTTTTCGACCCAATTACAATAACTTCCTAATGGGAAGTTAACAAGACAATTCAGCAAGAAAAGGAATTGTGAGTTTCGCTAGTTAGATTTAATATTTACCATACCTAAATGGATTCTTTTTGCATGAAAAGTTTTTTTAAAGCAAATTATTCAACACACTCCTTATGTTCCTTTTATTGTCGATATGTTCTATGTAATTAGTTGTTTTGTTCTACATATATTAACACGCTAATTTTTCAATTCAATCTGCATAATGAAACAACTACAGACATACATACATGTAATATGAATTATGTATTTTCTCATTACTTCGAATTAACATCTGTTCTTACTGTGTTATTAAAAGGTAGAGTTTACTTTTGCCCCATTTTGATAACCTAATTCTGAGTTCGCCGGGCCGATCAACCCCCACCTGCCAACCCCCAAGTACAGTCGACCTTGAGACCCCCACTCTGCATAAATGTAGACTAATCATGTTTTATTTATCATTCCCAAGATCTTACGTGTCACAACACGTCTTTGCGTTCACTAGTCCACACCAATTGCAGAAAGCATGCAGTTTTCCCGATCGTAATTTGAAAACTTTTCGCGGTTAGCCGGAAAAATTGTTTTAGCCGCGAAGTTCGCGTCATCCGCATTTTTAAACTGGTTCCTTGTTACTGTTATGAGCTCATGATTGATTTCACCGCCGAAGACGAATCAACACCCTTCGTGGTGGTATCTCTGCCAGCCATGGTAAGGAAAACGAACCTTTTATTTTCGCGTTTAGCCTAATTATATAGAAAATAAGTAATTTTTTCTAAAGGCGTAATGGCTAATACAAAAGACGATATGAGAGTAAGCAATTTTTAGTTTTCTTAGTAAAAGAATCAAACATTTTTCCAAAGTTGAAATAATTATTATATGTAAGTATTATCGGAAATGTATGAAATCTAGGAATTCTATACGATTCGGAGGCTATTTAGAAAATCTATAAAATATTCTTTCAAAGAATTTTTAATACAAACATATCCTGGGAAATGTATATACATTTCCTAGGAATTGTATGAAATTCCGATATTGTACTAGGAAATGTATAAAACTAATGTTTTCTGTGAATAAAATGAATAACACACGTTAGTAAACTGAGAATCAGAGTTATCTGTGAATACAATCGTCTGACTTTCCCCCCTCCGCGTACCCATTGACATCTTGAATGTAATACATTTCCGATTGCTATTTAGGAAATATATAGATTTCCTAGGAAATGTGCCTAATATAATTTATTTCACACATTTTCGGCGATTTTAAAAATGATACACATTTCCTAGAAATTATATACAATGTTACACATATTTCCGTTAACATATAAACTATTTAAACTTAAAGAAACATGTGTATTTGGCCCAACTACGTTTTCTACAATTTAATGAGAGAAAGACGTAAATTATTGAGACGTAAAAATTTCGAAATATCCTTCCTTATTTCAGTTATATCAAATAATATCAAAACGTTAAAGTTTAATGTAAAAATCTTTTTTCATATAAAAATACCATACTATGAACATTTTCGACTTTTCCCGTTGATTTTCCGAAAATTTTCTTTTATACAAACCTTATCCTGTCAATTACGTACACACCAAAAAAAGATCGGTCATCAGTTGAGCCGTTCTTATATGATACAGTTAGGAATATTTTGAAAGTGACAAAGAAAAATTTGGTAGAATTTTTATAATTTCTCTTCATAAGAACCTTCCCCTTTTTCACGAAATTGGTCCAGCCGTTCTCGACTTTTGCGCTTAACAACTCATGTAGTTATTTATGTTTATTTATTGTATATTAACAAAGGCCGGCAAAAAATCATTTTCATTATTAAATAATTTCAAAGTACCACGCACAACTTTGGAAAATACATAAATAAATAAAATCAGCATTTTTGCAGCCTACGAATTTTAATTAAATTACGTTAGGTTGTGGTGAATAGGGCTTGTTTTGTGAAATGCTATGCACCAAGGGTTTAAGTCAGGTTACGATGTAACAAGCTTTTCTAACTGCCATGCGTGAAGTCCTGTGCATTATACAGGGTGTTCCATCTAAGGCGGTTTCGTCCATAACTCTGTTATTATACTTTTAATAGAAAAATATTTTTATAAAACTGGTCTGGAATCGTATGGTGTATGTTCAGAAAATATTTTTATTCATGCAGGGTACTCCATTTCTTCGGAATGCTACCTAACCTCTTGTTTTAAATAGAATACACTGTATAGTCTCGCATTTTTTGTTTCTTTCTTTAATTTTAGGTCGATTTTGTTGGCAGTTTCCTGTATCTATCTCAAATAGTTTTTTGAGATATTCAACTGTTTTTGAAAAAAAAATACGATTTCAGCTGTTTCAATCAGACCAAATAGCATCTAAAACTGATATAAGGTTTTTAATATTTATCTAGTAATAGTTTTCTCGAAAATATCGATTATTATTTTATATTTATATCAGTAGAAAGGGCTTTTAATTCCGCATCGAACGGTATCTAACATGGGTCATTAAAAAGTTATTTATCTTTTAAAATTGTCCAAAGTAGGTTTCGATATTTCCGGCTCTGAATAACGTACACATTCTGCCCATCGCAAAAATGATACGATAATTCGTGCTAAAACGAATTATTCAAACCTCAGGTTTTTAGCTTTTCTGGATTAGATGCTATTTGGTATGATTCAGACAACTGATTTTTTTTTTAAAAACTGTTGAATATCTCAAAAACTACCAGAGATAGGTGCAGGGAACTTTTAACAATGTCAACCTAAAATTAAGCAAAGAAACCAAAAATGCAACAATATACAGATTGTTTTATTTCAAATAACGAAGTTAGGTAGCATACAGAAGAAATAGAGCGAGAGAGAGAAAATCTTTTCTGTATATTCATTATATGATTCCAGACCACTTTTATAAAAAACATTTTAAAAGTATAACAACAGAGTTATGGATGAAACCGTCATAGGTAGAACGCCCTGTAGGTTAGATAAGAGGTTGGCAAGTAATTTTAGGTGGGGTCCGGATGTTTCTGAATATTTTTAAAGAAGCCCAGAAAAAACATATTCCTTCCTCAAAATAATAATAATTGTCCAATTTTTGGCCTTCAATTACCTTCAGTTACCGACCGTTGGGTTAGATTATAATTGGAGAGGATTTCCTAATTGGCATATGTAAATAAGCACGCACAATGAGCTTAAGATAGGTTATGATGGGAGAGAGTTTCCTGATTATCATATATAATATGGTGTATGTACCATGCACTAAGGATTTAGGTTAGATTAAAGCAGGAAGGAAAGGTTGAGCACCAAGGATAAGTTCTATGTAACAAGGGCTTAGGTTAGGTTAGGTTACAGTATGGGGTTTAATATTTATTCGTTTGGTTTGCAATACTCCCAGTGTTTTAAAATCTAGTACTCATAAACTACCGAATTCATTAGAACACTAACAGATTCAATTTAATGAGCTGCACAAGCGTAAAAGGACCTATCACTTCAGATAATGTATTATGTTTACGGGATCTGTTCGGTAAAATACAAAATTAAATAAAATCTGCAAACTACATTTTTACAGCCTGCGAGTTATGGCAAAAAGAACGGAATTTGGTACGCTGCCCCCGGTGGGCAAGGTTGGAGTAAAGCTACAAGCAGAAAAGCGTCCATTACTGACATTGAACCACCCACAGCTGGAACTAGTGGGATTAAGCCCAGTTCTGGCCGAGTAATTAGGATAATAAATAACATGGATCACACCATTCAGGTAAAACAGTCAGTTGAGAAAACATTCTAAAAAACAGTTGCAACTTTTTTAATTCGCAAACTTTACTAATCATTTGCTTACAATGATGCAATAATTTATTAAAATAAACTATAATTTTGAAATCAATCATAAATAAATGTTTTTTTTTCGAGATCATCGCGTTTTTATAAGTAATTATTTAATACGGAATTCCCTGCATACATGGAGTTCTGGAAAACATAACTCTCATAAACCATCTTTCTTTTACGATTATCAGAATATCTTAAACAAGTGCCGTCGGTTTTTAGTGTAGGGTCCTCCTGAATCTTCGAACGACTCAGCCTTTCGAAGAGGTGGTCGAGGATCTAGGTCAAGTATTAAAGATAACTGGTGCCAAAAAAATGTACACCGTATCAGGGCAAGAAGTGAGAAGCTTTTCGCAGTTGCGAAACGAATTCGCCGATGTCGACACTTTTTATATAGGGACTGGAGTAAATGCTGTGGTAATGTCACCACGACGAGCGAGGTCTCGAATTGCCCAAACGGCTTTAGTGGAAGATATGAGTAAACAAAGAAGAGCAAGGAGTAAAAGTAGACCAAGAGCTTTGTACGCTCCAGAAAGTGAAATTATAAGAAGTAACGGTAGGTAAATTACATAATAATGTTTACATTACAGACTTTCTTCACAATACTAATACTTTAGCACCAATTTATTTCAATATTCAATAATAAAATGTTTAAATCTAAAAGTATAGTAAACTATCGATTGTCCAAAATTAATATGTAGTTCTTTAAATTTACTGCGCTACAAAGTAAATAAAAATTTCTGTAAAGGTAAGCTATCAAAATTGAACAAAATGGTATAAAAATTTAACAAAAAGTGTGAAATAGTATAAATATGTACATATATCGAGGAGGCGTTGACTCCCTTTTAGCCTGTCTCGTAACTATAATAATTTATTGCATCCATCAAACTTTAAAAACCTATTTGTTACAAGCATATTAACAAACTAATACAGAAAAGTGCCTAGTTAACTTCCCAGTGGGAAATTATAGTAATGAATCCGATTTTGTGAATCTTAAATTTTGACACATCCCCAAATGCTTAAAGTCGAATGCTACAGTTTTTAAGTGAATGCCTGCGTATATGTATTATCTTGAGAATGAAAAATGATATGGGCATGGGACCAATTGCATAATCATGCGACTTAAAACTGATTAAGTTTTCAGCAAAATTAGTTCCGCCGATTTTTGTGAAAAATCAAAAAATTAAAGTAGAACGATAAACTACCTCAATTTTACAATTTAAATTGTTGGGTAAGGATGCCGAATATGAGATACCATTTTTATTTTTGGCAATGAAACATAAATTATTTCACTTATCACTATGAAAACTGCAATATTCGATAGGGTATTTAATGAAGTTTATTTGTGAGGGACCGTTTACTTATAAGTATAATACATTTTTTTTATTTCAAAAAATATTAAAAAGCTCAGAAATTACGTCTCAGGTAAATGGTCTCCTATTATGTGATACTGAGGGTTGTGAGATAATATCTCATATTAGGTTCTTTAGATTTAGAGAAAAAGAAAAGAAATCAATTTAAATTAAATGTTTTATTGGCTATATTTTCTAATTAACAACATCATACTCCTACATAAATAGGTCTAAGTACGACTTAATATATGTATGTAACGTACATAGATATAATGGCACTTATTAAACAGCATCAAAAACAAAACTATTATTTCCTTGATCGACGCCATCTAGAAAAACAGATTTTTCAAACAGTTGTATATTTATATATCCTAATATGAGATATCGCATTTTAGGAGCCCCTGCGTATCTCATATTAGGAAAACATCTACATTCAACAAAATGGCTGCCTATTATTTCTTAATAAAGAAAATGCAACAAAACTGTAAATGTATCGTAAAATTCACGATTTAATTGATACAGTGACAGTAAATTAAAATCATTTAGTGTAATTAATACAGTTGTAGCATACTTTGTAAACATTTGATGATAAAAATTTGGTTTTGGGGTTTTCTGAAAACCCGTGCGTACACAACCTAACTTCGCCTCGGACTGGAAAGCACTAGCACACGTATCTATCTCATATTTGCCGACTATCTCATATTCGGCATCCTTACCCTACTATCTATTAAAGCACAATCCAAACATCTTTTGAGTAATATTATTATTATTGCATGTTAGAAATATTTAAATTTATATAATAAATTAATGATGACATTTTTATTGTTTCCACTGAGAACTTCTTGGATCGCACCCAGACCGCCTTTTTTATTACTGAACTGGCTTGACCTGATTCGAATAATACGAATTCTAGAATGATGTTCTGAATCATAAACGGGATTATAAATGATTTATTAACCGAATCATTTCGTTTATGAGTTACTGGATTTCTCTTTGTAGATTACACACTTCTAGAAGTTCTAAAAGAAGAACCAGCTCGAATCACGATTAGAGGACTGCGAAGGACTTTTTATCCACCTATCCATCATGCTCCAGCCGATAACACACCACCGGACAGGAAAATGCAATTGGAATGGGTGTATCCTTTAAAAATTCATCATTTTTACTACACTTACTCGCAATCAGCATTATGCAGATTTTTCTATCGGTTGCATGCCACGCTTATCGAAAGCATTAAGGGTGCGCCCTGATGCAAGATTCAATAAAAGCGCTAAAAATATGCCACTTTCATGTCTTTCAGGAATAAACACTATTCAGAAAAAAGTACCTTGAGTAGGTAAAGTTGTAGGATTCTTTTTAACGACCTTTTTTAATGGCCTAAGTAGTAATTAAACCGGTAATCAAAACGCAATAATAACTGCAATCAGCCGTTTTGTTTTCCTCTTTATTCCTATTTCAATTGTTCTTTTGTTTGCTTGTTTATGTATTTATTTATTACATGTTATTTATTTATTAATTTTCATTAATAGTTTTAATAAATTACATTTATTCTATCACAAATAGTTTTAGTTCACTATTTATACAAAGCACCTTCCTTCATCCCATATTGAATAAATGCTACTTTTATTTTTTTAGAATGCATCAAGAATGCTTTTAATTGTTAATTCTACAATATTGCTTCTGCAGCTTATGATTTATCAGTAGTACAAAGAAATATTTTTACATTAATATTAGTTAATATTTAAAAAATGTTTTGAAACGTTGTAATGCGTTTTATTTTATTCACGAGTAATAAATAAAAAAAGAACGGAAGAACTGTTAGGGAAAGATCAATTTGGGTTTAGAAGAAATAGAGGAACGCAGGAGGCTGTGCTAGCTTTACGAGTAACAATAGAGAAAACGATAGGAAAAGGAAAGAGTGCGTACCTACATTTTTGGATTTAGAAAAGGCTTTCGACAATGTTAAATGGGACAAGATGTTAAATATACTGATGGATGAGTTATACAGATAGAAGAGTGATCCTTAGTTTGTATAAAGAGCAACAGGCAGTTATAGAGCTGGGGCTGCAACGAAGAGAAGTAGATATTAGGAAGGGAGTCCGATAGGGATGCACACTGTCACCGCTACTTTTTAATCTATACATCGAAAACGCGATCAACATCATCAAAGGCAGTACAACTGTAGGGATAGATATACAGGGGCAAAAGATCAGTATACTTAGATTTTCAGATGATATAGCAGTATTAGTATCTAGAAGGAGAAGTTAGAGATAGCTTTAAATAAAATGGAAAAGGTGTTGACAAAGCAGAATTGTATGAAAATAAAAAAAGTAAAACAAAAATACTGCTTTGCAAGGGAGGAAAGGTAGGGAGAGAGCGAATATAAAGATAGGAGACAAAAAATTAGAAGAAGTGAATGATTTTAGGTATCTAGGAAGTCAGATAAGTCAGGACGAAAGGAGTAGTAGGGATATAAAGCAGAGGATAGCGTAGGGTCGAGTCGCCTTCAATAAAAATAAGTCACTTCTATGTTCGCGAACGATTAATTTAGAAGTTCGAAAAAGATTGTTAAAGGTGTATGTTTGGAGCACGGCGTTGTATGGGTGCGAAATATAGACGGGGGCGCGGCAAAAGAAAAGGTTAGAAGCGTTCGAAAAAATGTGGTGTTACAGACGAATAATGAAGAAACCGTGGATAGAGAAGGTTAGAAATGAACAGGTATTAGAGAGAATAGGAGAACAGAGGACTGTATGAAAGTCAATAAGAAATAGGCGAGATAGGTTGATAATGATAAGACACCTTCTCAGGCATGAAGGTCTAGTTAAAGACATATTAGAGACAGAAACAGAAGTTAGGAGGAGTAGAGGTAGACCTAGCTTACTAGATTACTGTTCGCAAATAGTTAAGGATGTGGGATGTTCTATTCTTAGGTAAATGCGTGGATTAGCTCAGGATAGGAAAAAGTTGAGGTGCGTGTTCAACTAGTCCTAGAACTGACGACCTTATGATAATAATGAACAAAAAAATACACTTATCCAAAGTAAAAAATGGATTCTATAAATAAACTAGTAAAACTTTTCGTAGCGGGACGGTCTTGCGTTGATAAACCCACATTAGATACGCGTGTCCGCTGTGAGAAGTATTAATGGTAAATAGCTAATCATATTGGTAACAGCTGTGCGTCTCCCTTGCATTAGTTTCGCGTCCCCTAGGAACTGGAAATCAATGGATGAAGTATTAAATAAAATAAACACTAACTAGGTTTTGACACCCATTCTACGGGGCATTTCATGGCTCACTTAAAGTAGGGCAGCTGGTTTGTAGTGCTGATGACGACACGTCGGCACACTCAACGCGGAATTAGGATCCTCAAAATCAACAACTTCCTTGATTACTGTTGATCCTTTTGCATATTTGTTGCCTTTGCGTTCCCTGGCTTTTTAGTATGCTAATGTATGATAGGGCAAAGTTTAAAAATTTCAATTCAGTGTAAGGTTGCTTTTTCTTAATAATTATTAGTTACGGTTATCGCGGAACTGATTCCAGAAAAAACATGTGGGTTCTGCCTACGGGTGAACTTCTCTATTACGTGGCAGCAATAGCTATAATGTATGACAGAGATGAAGAAACACAAAGACATTATTCTGACCACACCGAAGATATTATGTGGTAAGTGAGTACATATACCTATTCATTACTGTTATTACTATTATATTGTTATATTGTCATGGAGTGGACTTCTACCCTCATTAACACGTCATCCACAGGTGAACCGCCTTCCAGGCATATCTAAATAGATTTGCAGTGGAAATTGTTTTTTGGAAAGCTAGTTATTCGACATTTATTTACTATTTGAGCTAGACAAATATTTTTATTATTATTATTCATAAATAAAACTACAAAACCCAAATTACACACGTGTAAAAAACTTAAAGCTTAAACAACAGGTATTATTCTTGGTTAGGGACTCTAGGAGATTTTATGTGGAATTTTGTTCAGTTGTACAGAATGATTAGATGGTTTAGGCAGCCTTATCAACTCGGATAATGGTTCTATCCCAAACTGTTTTCAGATTATAATCGTAATATAATCTGAAAAGAGTCACACATCCCATGCTCAATAAAGTCGAAGCGTGCTTTCAGGAAGTATGGCTAGTTCTTATGGATTTTGAACGACTCCAATTTATAGGTTTTCTCTTTTGCCTGTTAACCATCAAGGTGTTTAATTTAATAGGTGGTTTAACGAAGCATGCACAATATGCAGCTCATCCGTCCTGTTTGATATTAAACGTTTATTCCTAGCTGTGCTAACCATCAATTAGTTTCACTAGTGTGACGTTCCACAAACCCCACCCTTAATACGTATCCCTTTTTATTAAATTTAATTTTGCTGATTTTATTGGTTTCTGTTAAAATTCTTAGAGAGAGATCATAACAGTACAACAAGCTTTAGATTTAAGATTATTTTAGTCTCTAACCGAGGACGACACCTTGGTTGTCGAAATGCGTCTTAGGTAACTAAACTTTTTGTGGATTTTTGGATGTTTTAGTGTTTATTTGGAATGATTATAACACTGCGTAGGGTTCACGAGAACACTGGTTCATTTCCCCTGTCCTGGTTTAAGTTTTTCTGTGGTTTGCTTGAATCATTTAGGTAAATGCTCAGGAAGTAACATTCCTCAGATAATCTTTCATTTCTTCCATCTCTTCTATGATCTGTATCTCCCCATCCGCCACTCATCTATCCCCACAATTCGAATGAAAGGAGGCTGAAGAGAGGTTCTTCCGCCCACCGAGCGCCATGACCTGGAGGTTTAATCCATAGCTTAGCATTCGGGTGGATTGGTCCAAGTTCTTCTGTGGTTTCCTTGGATTCTTAGGCAAATGCTGAGGCAGTGATATTCCACACACAATCTTTCATTCTCTTCTGTCTTCATTTCGTCCGTCTTATCACCCGAAACATACCCACCCATTCTCACGATTCCTGAAAGGAGACTGAAGAGGGTCTTCCGGCGTAGTTCGGAGGGACTGCCCGCCCACCAACATTAGTGGCTGGTGGGAATAAAACAGCGAAAAGTTTTTTTGTCCTTCCACTCTGTTAGCCTTGCACTAGTGCGTATGCCAGGGGGACTAAGCGTCCACCGGCAGTAGTAACTGATAAATGATGAGGATGAAACACGAAAAGTTTTTTTAGTATGGATTTACATCCTTCCCGAGAAATGGTAGCAAGTGGTCAAAGAGCAGGAAGAAGTAGGAAAACTCAAGCTCATATCCGGATATGGAGTACGGAAACACTTCAAACATTGTACGTTTTTGGCATGGGAGAATTTGAAGGCGGAGTTTCGGCCGTTGCATTTTCCCAATTAGTAAGAACATAATGAATTATTTATGTACATATCACTGCTCGTTTGTTTAGTAGTACAAAAAATAAATTAGTGTCGTAGTTGTTACATTGAAAACATTAATTTCAGAATGGAGGAAGTTACGTGATGGCTGTAGACGCCGGTAGGGAAAGCATTTTATCAGTTTGGCAGTGGCAATGGGGACACTTACTCGGAAAAGTTGCGGTAATAACCACTATTATTTTTTATTTTGCGTCAAAACTTTTATGGCATATTTTGTTAATAGGCTGTTATTAACTACTCATTAATAATACATAATTTTACCTTTTGTGGACGTTAGCGGCTAAGTCATCTGCATAATAACCGCTACATTTTGCATGCGCCTAATTGCCTTGCTTAAAAGTTCTTTTTGTGTATAAACGGATATTGAAACAACCCTTTCTTCTGCTTACTGAAGTGTTATGATAATAATCAAAAAGATATGTCTAAATGTTATGACGCCCTAATAAGATTGTAATAGTAAATATTGCTATTATTAGAAGGAAAATTTTAAAATATAAAGTCTGATTTGTAAATATTTTGCATTTATAGTGTTAAAATTCCATGCTAGAAAAAAACCTATTCAGTGCGATGAATGACGACCCATTTGTTGCCATAAAATTTAAAAACATACACTAACGATAGCTAAACTACACTAAAACTTAACACAGTTATAAATAAAAAATGTGTGTCTTAATATTCATATATATTTTTATCATTTTGCATTTTTTAACCTTTAGGGTTTTACGTAATTAAGCAAAAATTATTTAAGAATAATATAATATAAAACATTTTAAGCATTTAAAAACTTGTAGTTTTAATTTTCTTGTACTATCAACAACGTTTCACAGTGTACAACTAAAATATCAACAGCAAAAGATGATTTAAGTATTTGTGGAATGCTTTAGATATTCTACCTTACATATATGTGGATCATCATATTATCTTAAAGTCGTCAGTCCGAAGGCTTGTTAGACACACATCTCCACTTCCTATCCGGAGTCAATATTCTCATTTCCCGAAAGCACGGACATCCGATATCCCTAACTCTTTGCGAACATTATTTAATCAAAAGCTTTCTCTGTCCCCCTTTCCCCTTGTTCTTTAATGTGTTTCTAAACAATCCTTCATGTCTCAGATCTTTTCCTTATTGACCTCCACAGTGCCCTTTGTTCTTCTTCTTTTTCCAATAAATGTTCATTTCTCACCTTTTCTCTCTAATACCTGTTCTCAAACTCTTTTAATTTTTCCACCGCACTCTCGTCCACATACAGCGAGTGAGTTTTATTCTGACTATGACTGATATTTTTTTAAGACGTTACAAGAAGAACTAACAGGAGCAGCTTTTCATCCTTTGGATGACAACCTACTAATAACGCATGGTAAAGGACATTTGACTTTTTGGAACAGAAGGAAGGATGGATTCTTTGAAAGAACCGATATTATCAAACCGGTAAGAAGCGGCCATGCGAATCATTTTCCGATTATGTTAAATTAAGATATTGTAATATTGCAATTAAAACTTGACAAATACTGAAACAATTAAAACTGTTAAATTTGGCTAACATTTCAGCCATCTCGAACCGTAATCACTAGCCTCCAGTTTGAACAAGACGGTGATGTTATAACAGCAGATAGTGATGGGTTTATTACCGTTTATAGTGTTGACAGTGATGGCGCATATTTTGTAAGAATGGAATATGAGGTAAGCGATAAGTAAATAGTTATTATTTGGTATTGCAACAATTGTCTCATCTAGGCTCATAACAAAGGAGTAAGCTCTCTGATTATGTTATCCGAAGGGACGTTACTGTCTGGAGGTGAAAAAGACAGACGAATTGCTGCATGGGATTCGCTGCAAAATTACAAACGAATTACTGATACAAAGGTTGCTTTAATTTTCATACCTATTTTAAATTACTTGACTTAAAATAAATTTCTTTAGTTGCCTGAATCTGCTGGAGGAATTCGATCCATTTATCCTCAAAGACCTGGAAGGAATGATGGAAACATTTACGTTGGGACAACTAAAAATAATATACTGGAAGGATCTATGCAAAGAAGGTTTAATCAAGTAAGATCCCGCAAACAATATTTCATTTTCCGTTTCTTGCTCCTTTCAAACTCTAATAAGACAAATGTATATCCTTAGTAACGTAGGTCACAGGTACTACCAGTGACGTAGCTACCGACGAGATAAATTATTTGGAACTCCGTGACATTAAAACCCCTTAAATTATTATCAAGACACCTTAACTTATTATAAAACAATTAGGTTAAAGGAGTAACATTGATAAAACTGTTAGCATGTATGCAGATGTGAAAGTCAGACGGAAAAAAACGAAATGTATGCTGGGACACATAATAGAAGTGAATCTTCAACCTGCCCGTAAAACTTCAAGTAAAAATTTTGTTGGGATTCGGTTTTGCACTTGTTCGTTTCCATTCGTTTTTCCACTTGTCCGTTGAAGTTTCACTTCTACTATGTGTTTCAACATATATTTCGTTTTCACAGGTTTACCGCAAATTAATTGGTCTTTAAATCGCAAATAGAGGCAATGATGCCCAACCACATGGAGAGCAGAGGTAAGAAAACAACAGCTGAGCACAGCACACGCCGCTGGGACTCTAGCGGACTCCCCGCTCTCCGTGCGGCTGCGCAATATATCCATCTAATACAGCCGTTGCCCTCTCTCCGCCGTGGCCAGCCTTTCTCTCCCTCCGCCGCCGCCACTTCTTCCCACGAGATATACCGTCTACCCCCTCCACGCGGCCGTAATGCTTTTTCGTGACAGACAAAATCGTAATATACTGTCTTTAAAAGTTTTACATCAAAATTTTAGAACTTACAACCTTGTTCAAATTTTGGCTCAGATGTATTGTAAATTTTCATATTTGATTTAATATTCGTTCACATATTACTTTAATTATTCTATATACGTATTACTTGAAATGGAAATACATTCAATAGGATCTTATAATAATACGCTGATAATCAAATCCTTATACATATTCTGAAATTGAGGTTTTAGTAGCTTTTAATATAGAGAGAGGTTGGTCGGTTTAGTTTACATTATGTTCAACATTTTCATGTAATGTGCCCTCGCGGAATAAATTATCTAGGGTCCCCATTTCAATAATTCTGCGTTAATTATAAAAAACTGCTGGACGACGGTGACACGGCTTACACTTGCGTGACTGAAATGTTCACCATAAGAATATACATATTTTCGTGAAACTTTTGGGTGAGAAGGTTTGAGCTCTTCTAGACGAGCATTTCGCGAGTATCGTGTATACGCGGTCGTGATTGGTATCAAATGCAAGATACGTGTGTCTATATATATATATAGAAAAATAAAACGGATAATTGAAGAATTAAAAAAAACTGGTGACGTTTGTCATGGTTTAAACAATTTAATAACATTATAACTTATTAAATTATTATTTTTAAACAAAAACAAACGTGGGTAATACTGTCACTGTAAAATCTCTGCCTCAAATGGGTAGCAATAAGGTCAGAAGTTAATTTTTTTTTTAAGAAAAAAAAGAGAGTCGGAATGATCCTTTGGTTCCGCTTTCATATCTTGCGGTATTAACCACCGCATTAAAAAATTTTTGTTGTCCAATAACACCTTCTTAAGCAATATCGAACAAAATCGATTTTAAAATCCTACAACACTTTTACAGATAGTATTTGGACATAGTCGACAACTATGGGGTTTGGCAGTACATCCAGATGATGAAGTTTTCGCCACTGCTGGACACGATAAAATTATTGCTCTTTGGCGAAAACACAAATTAATTTGGACAACTCACGTTAGTTTTTACATTATATTTTTTACATGGCATGAAATTATTTTTATGCCAATTTTAGGTGGGATACGAATGCATTTCTTTAACTTTTCATCCATTTGGAATGGCTTTGGCTGCAGGCAGTACCGAAGGACATTTGCTTATTATAAATGCAGAAACAGGAACTTCCGTTGTTACAGTTAGAGTTTGTGGCTCTCCTCTTAACAGCGTTGGCTATAACCCCTGTAAGTTACATTTAATTTGTCTATTAATCACTTAATAGTTTTCGTGTAACACTTGTTCTGTAATTAAATAACTAATGTCTGTAAATAACTAAATGCGTTAAAAAAGATTCCTGGTCCATTAAATCTAACAAAATTCTATTCAAAAAAATACCAATTAAAGTTTCTATGTTAAACATACATGCTCGTTTCGACACTCAAGGTGCCATCCTCAGTTCATAATCATAAGGTCGTCAGTCCAAAGACTCGTTAGACACGCACCTCCACTCTTTCCTACCTTGAGCTAATCTTCGCATTTCTCTAAACCTAAAACATCCCACATCCTTAACTATTTACGAACAGTAATCTAATCTAGAGCTCAAGATAGGAAACAGTGGAGCTATCCAATCAGTCTTAGGACTGACGACCTTATGATGATGGTGATGAATCTAATCTAGATCTACCTCTACTCCTTTTAACTCCCATTTCGCCCATTTCCTATTAACTTCCTTAAGTCCTCTGTTCTTCCATTCTTTCTAATACCTCTTCATTTCTAACCTTCTCTATCCACGATATCCTCATTAAGGAGTGTATTAATAATTATTAATTAT